AATTGCTCATATTTTCTGCCCCGGAGTGGAAGGCGGGGAGTTCACTCCCCAGCTCTCAGTTGCCCCTGGAACCTGGCCGTCTGGCGTCCTGGGTGAGGGGAGCGGGCTGGGCTGGCGTTTTATCCTCATCGTGAGCCAGGCTTTCTCACTTTCTCACGCTCTGGGGTGTGTGTGTGTGTGTGTGTGTGTGTGTGTGTGTGTGTGGTCACGCGTTCCTGTCCGCCCCGATGCCATGACCCTCCGCTTTGGAAAACGCAGAGGGCCCCGCACCCTAATGGATTGTGTGGGATGTTCATCTTGAAATCATTCATCTTTATTGATTCCTCTGACACACACGTTTGGGGCCCGTGCAAAGCGAAGTCCCCAGGGACCACAAATTAATTTCCTTCATAAATCTACTCCAGGATGCCGGGCCAGTTTATTTTCCCTGACGGCTGATCCATGAGGCCGATGGATGGAGTCATTTGGAAAATGTGTGTCTTACCAGATGAAAACCTTTTTATGTAAAAACTTCCCTCTGTTTTAGTTAGGTATTCAAATTAATACACACATACACACACACACACACATTTACAATTTTTTGGACTCCTCTTGAGAGTTCTTGGCATGTACGTATAGTCGTCTGCAAAGATTGAAAGCATCACTGATATCATAAGCCTATTGATCTAAGAGCCTCATACTGGGGTGGGTTGCTTGACGTTCACAGAAAATTATGCAGCTACAGGCTTTATGCTCCATGGCCGAGTGCCAGCCATCACCCCGGTACGCGGCCCTTGAGCTCCCTCCCCCAGAGGGCTCCCCCACGTGGCTCCTGGTTTCCCATGAGCCCTCTGGCTGGCCTTGGGCGCCCCCGAGCAAAGTCTCTTCCGTTCTAAAGCAGGAGCGGTAGACCGAGGCACCGCCATCGCTGCAATCCCAAGGCGGCTGGCCCTACGGACCCCGGGAGCCTGTCGGACCATCTGGCTGAGGCCTGGGGCAGAGAGGCCTTATCTGGCGCCCTGGGCTGGGAGGGACCTTTTCCTTTTTGGGCTAATGGCAAAGACTTCCGTCCTGTCTGCGTCTCGATGCCATGACAGCAGCCGATAGGGCCGCCTTCGGCTGTTACAGAATCTAACGTCCCCACGGAGCCTGCTCTTATCGGCAGAGCTAACCGCATTGAAGCTCTTGGAGTTCTCTGTGTCTGACAGTCACTTGCTTTCACTGCCTAACGTGGCTTTAAACGATCGCTCTGCTCTCTGGCATGGGGGGGGGGGGGGGAAGCATTCTGCAGGCTCCAGGGACTCCTCACGGGGAGAGGGGACTCTGACCAACTGTCCCCGGTGCCTAGCAGTGCCAGCGCGTAGTAGGTGTGCTGCAGGTGCGTGCTGGGTGAAGGCGGGCAGGTGGGCAGACAGGAGGGAAGGCGTGTGCCAGTTGTCCCTCCCAGTCACGCCCTTCCGAGGTGAGCACCCCGTTTCCATGAAGCTCCTGGTGGGGGGCTGGGCAGAACCTGGGTCGGCCTCTCTCCCAGGGAGAACCTCACGTACTCAATTTCTGCAGTGCAGACATGGCTGGACGCCCCAAAGGCGTGCGATGACGGGGTGGGGAGTGCTGTGTAACGGTGGGTGTCCGAGTAGGTGGGATGGGGTGGGAGGGCGAGTATTGTAGTCAGGGCCCTGTGGCTGTCCCTCAAGCAAACGCGGGTTCCCAGAACATGGCCGTGAAGTCTCCGTGGGAAAGATCAGCGTTGACACGGAGACTCCGATGCCATCTCCCCAGGAGGGCCCCAGCTCACCGTTTCCTAAAGTGCATTTTGGCTCTAGCTGGTTTGGCTCAGTGCACAGAGTGTCGGCCTGCAGACTGGATTCGATTCCCATGCAGGGCACATGCCCAGGTTATGAGCTCCATCCCCAGTGGGGGGCGTGCAGGAGGCAGCTGATCCATGATTCTCTCTTCATTGATGTTTCTGTCTCTCTCTCCCTCTCCCTTCCTCTCTGAAATCAGTAAAATATATACAGATAAATAAGTAAAATAAAGTATATTTTGGTGGTTGGCACCATTCACAACAGATGATTCCTCCAAGAGATACGGGGCATCTCAGACTTCTCTGTGGGAGCCCCTTTCACGTCCCTCGTGGTTCAGGGTTCGGGTTCTGGAGAAGGCCGCACACAAATGAAAGAGACTAGAAAAATATTAATTTGAGAATATTGGGGGCCGAGGAGGAGCCCAACTCTAGTGGGAAAACTACCTGCCTTGCTTTGGCCTTGCTACCCCTTTTATTGAGACTATAAGATACACCCATAACCCTTAGGAAGGTAATTCCAGTAACCGGCAGGTTATCTTATCGGTAAGGATTTACATGATTATTTGGGGGGGGAAGTTGCCTCAGCTACTCCATTAGATAGGGAGTGGTTGGCTCTGACCCTGCAGAGCTTCAAGGTTGAACAGCCTTCCACATCTTTCTCTTAGTGAGACCATGATTGGTTTCTGGCACTTCTCTGGTGGCTAGTCTGGAAACCCAAGGTCAGCTTCAGCAGGGTTGGGCTCAGGACAGGCCCTAGGGGCTGTGGAAGTGTCCCTGTTTCCTCACCAGGCGGCAGGCAGGTGGAGTGGAGGAGAGGGGGCTTGGGCACCTGTGCACGGGACAAGGATGCATAGGACTGCTGCTGAAATAGGACGAGCAGGGTTCAACTCAAAGCTGCAAGGACTATGGGGTTAACCCAGGATACTGTGTGCTCGCTCTTCTGGCCCCTCTCGGCCCAGCTGGGCCTCAGTTCTGGACTTCGAACTTTGTTAAAAATCAGTCTTCAGGTTAAATACAAACGGAGTTCACCCATGTCCCTGCTTCATCTACCAACGGGCATGTGAGAGGCTGACTAGGAATTCTATCAAAGTGAGCTTACACCAGGGATCTGGATTCCCGCTTTAAAGCAGAGGGCAGGGAAATGGTATTTGCTGCCATCTCGCGGGCATCGTGGGACTAACTCCTGAGTGAAGGCCCCCAGGAAAAGTCTTTCTTTGCTGCCATCTAGTGTGCATCTTAACAATAACAGTTGAGGGCGGGTCCTCAGGAACATTTGTTGGGTGTGGTGTCCTTACTTTGCCTCACGGCATCTGCTACAAAATAAAGCCTAGGCTTGTGGGCTTGGGTGCCGTCTCTCAGAAAGTGGCATCCCACCGAGACCCAGCTTTCATTCTCTTGTCTGTCTTTTCCAAGCTTTTCAGCAGCCCCAGCCTCTCAGGGCCACCCTGGGCCGTGTGTGGCTACACAATGCTGGTTCTGTGTTTTGAAGGATGCCTTTTGGATTCTCTGATGTTTTCCTTATAAGAGACCGGGGTTTAGGGAAGAGCACCACATGTGTGGAGCATGCTCATTGCACACAGTCAGAGCACGTGATACCAACACGATTTATCCGTGGGTCCCTGTTGATGTTGGCCTTGGTCACCAGGATCCTGGAGTGTCTGCCAGGGTCTTCACTGTACACCTGCTGTGATTTCCATCCCACAGTCTGAGCATTGGAAGAGAGACACATAGTGCCAACTGGAAAAGGGAGGAAGGCGGGCGGGGGGGCGGGGTGCTTAGGGATGACACAATTGCCCCAGGTACTTGAGAGTAGATTGGGTATGAGCAGTGAGGAGGAGGCGGGACAAGTAAAAAAGGGCTTGGCATCAAGATCAAGGTGGGGGTTGTTCAGAGAGATCTGTATTTCTAAAATTAATGTGTGTCCTGCCTTGTGGACCTACTTGCAACCTCACCCAATGGTTGTTTAGGGGTGGGACTCATTTTGAACCTCACCCAATCATTGTTTAGGGGTGGGACCCACTTCGAACCTCACCCAATGGTAGTTGAGGGGCAGGTCCCACTGCCAACCTCAGCCAATGGTAGTTGAGGGGCAGGTCTGCTTCCCACCCTAAGCCAATGGTAGCTGAGGGGCAGGTCTGCTTCCCACCCTAAGCCAATGGTAGCTGAGGGGCAGGTCCCCTTGCCACCCTCAGCCAATAGTAGTTGAGGGGCGGGTCCCATGGCCAACCTCAGCCAATGGTACTTGAGGGGCGGGTGCCTCTGCCAACCTCAGCCAATGGTAGTTGAGGGGTTGGTCCCACTGCCTACCTCAGCCAATGGTAGCTGAGAGGCGGGTGCCTCTGCCAACCTCAGCCAATGGTAGTTGAGGGGCGAATCCCAAGGCAAACCTCGGCTAATGGTAGCTGAGGGGATGGTCCCATGCCACCCTCAGCCAATGGTAGCTGAGGGGCGGGTCCCATGGCCAAACTCAACCAATGGTACTTGAGGGGCGGGTTCCTCTGCCAACCTCAACCAATGGTAGCTGAGGGGCGGGTCCCACTCCCAACCTCAGCCAATGGTAGTTGAGGGGTCAGTCCTACTGCCTACCTCAGCCAATGGTAGCTGAGGGGCAGGTCCCCTTCCCATCCTCAGCTAATGGTAGCTGAGGGGCGGGTGCCTTTGCCAACTTCAGCCAATGGTAGCTGAGGGGTGAATCCCAAGGCAAACCTCGGCCAATGGTAACTGAGGGGTGGGACCCACATCCAATGGAAGTTGAGGGACAGATGCCTCTGCCCACCTCAGCCAATTGGAGTTGATGTCCGGTTCCCCTGCCATCCTCACCCAATGGTAGTTGAGGGGCCTGTCCCACTGCCTACCTCAGCCAATGGTAGCTGAGGGTCGGGTTCCTCGGCCAACCTCAGCCAATCGTTGTTGAGTGGTGGGACTTACTTTGAACCTCACCCAATAGTTGTTGAGGTTTGGGTCCCACTTCCAACATCAACCATTGATTGTTGAGGGGTGGGACCCACTGCCAATGGCAGTTTGAGGGGCGGGACCCACTTCCCCCCTCACTCATTGGTTGCTGATGGGCAGGACCCACATCCAACCACAACCCATGATTGTTGAAGGGCTTGACCAACTTTCAGCCTCACCCAATGTTTGTGGAGCGGTTGAGATTTTTAAACTGAACTCAATCATGGCTCTATATTGGTGATGGTGATTAATTAAATATTAACCTTTTAATCAAAATAAAGTCTTTGAGTGAAACTTACTTTAAATCTCTCCGAAAATACTACTTGCAATGTTAAAAACAATTTTTTTTCTTTATCCTACAGCTCTGCTTTCTCTGGAGGTGGTAGTTCTGTTAATTTTTTTCTTTATGTTACCAATGTTTTCTGGTGCCTCACAATCCTTGCTTGAACATTGAAGGACAAGGTAGGCTGCTCTCATGGCTGGAATGAGTTTCCCTTTGCATTTGTCTGTATCTGTTTGCCTCGCATGTCTGTCCCCAAATGCATGGGGCTGCCTCTGCTTCCCATGTCTATTCTAGCTTTTAAGATCTGACTTCCTTTTTTTCAAAAAATGTTTCATGCAACATTCAGACAGAATAGTGGATAAAACACATATGCTCAGCATAATGAATAATTATAAATCAAATACCACCAAATTAAAAAATAGAATATCATCATCATTATTCTAGAAGCCCTTCTCCCACGTGTTCCTTCCTATCAAACTTTCTCCTCCAGAAGGAGCCACTCTGCTAACTCTACTGTAATAATTACCACCTGTGTAAGCAACTCTAACCTACATTTTAATTTTGTCTTTAAAAAATATTCCATTAGTGGAATCAAAGTATATGTTGTTTTTGTGTTTGTTTGTTTGTTTGTTCAGTCTTCTGTTGAGGTAACTAAAGAGGCAAGTAGCAGAGGGCCTCTGATGCCTTGGTAGTCTAGCCAAGCCAAGCTAAGCCAGAGTTCATGTGTGGAACTGAGAAGATGAAACTCATGAGCAGCCAATCACAAACAGCCCACTGGGCTTTCCTAAATAAGGCAACTGCTGCAGCTACAGCCAATGAAATTATTTCCTTGCTCAGCTTCCCTGTCTTCACTATAAAAACCCAACTGCTTTTGGCTCAGGGAGATGCGAGTCCAGCACATGGACTGGAGCTCATGTCACACATTTGCGCAAAGGGCCACAGCACACACCCAACTTTAATCAGAGGCCTTGGCCCCAGTGGCAATGGTCCTGACTGGTTGTTGGTTTCTGCGTAGAGCAAACGGTAGCGACAATTTGTGTGATGACCAATACCTGTAGGAAGCAGAGGAGCTAGTCAGCAGGAGAGGGCTGTGCAGAGTGAGGGCTGTGCCCAGGGGAGCGAGCATGTGGCTGGAGGGCCTTCTAGGTGACAGGCACCTCCTGCAAACTCTTCCCTTAGAGGAGGCCCCGTATTCTTTCTAGGAGCCAATTGTCCTCAGAGTCACAACCTCTGTCAACCTCGGCCTGTGACCTCAGCATCCCCAGATTGACATTAAGCAAGCACACAGTTCGCCATTGTCACCAGTAGCTGTCGTGTGACCTATGGGTGGGCACCCTGAGCCACAATTTGCTTCTTTGTCCCAGAACCCCCATTCCTGCCCACCATTACTCCCTAGCAGGGAGCACTGCTTCCCCGCCCAGGGGGGCAGTGTTGCCCTCAGGGCTGGTCTGAGCCCAGAGCACAGCAGAGCCCAGGAGAACAAGCCTGGAGCCCAGCCAGCAGACCTCACACCACCTCTAGGCCACTTGCTCTGGTTCAGCCAGGCTGCACCCTGAACTTTGTGATGCCGGCTTCCCTGATCCCTTGTGTTCAGCTGGACCCTGGCTGGAGGCCCACAGGGCCTGAGCTCCAGTCTGAGCTCACTCCACAGACCCCAGGGTGGAGAATTGGCCTCTCTGCCCCAGGGTGGTGGGCTCTTGCCCTGCCCGGCTGGGGGTGGGCGGGGTGGGGATGGGACAAGCAACAAATAGCCCATGGCTTAGCTATCACTGGCTGAGAACTCAATTTTTCATTTGCTTCCTTATCCCTCCTGCGGCTCCTTTGTTGTCGCTGCTCCATGGACCATAGCTAATGCTGATGGGCAGCCATGTGGTGGGGCCCTCAGGTCACAGGGTGTTGCACAAGTGTGGGAAAATTGGCAGGACATTCTGGGGCAGAACATTCCAGGCCCTTCCAAGCACTGCCTTCCCGGCATGGACACCCACGGTTCCTTCCTTTTCTAAGGGGGCAGTGGTGGGTGTGGCCAGGTGAGAATAGCTCCTGGGGCCTATTGTCAACTGGGGCACCTTAACTTTCGTCTGTTTACAAATACGCATCCTCCTCTCTCCTCCCTTCTCTCTTCAGCCACTGACAAGGGTTGGTGTTTGAGGGAGGTTGTTTTTCTAGAAAAGCTTTGTTCTGTGGGTTGCAGGGGCGCCCCCAGAGAAGCATTCCTGAAGAACAGCATGTTGGGGGTGCGGAGGAGACTACCCAGAGAGCTGCAGCCATATGCAGGCCTCCATGCCGGTGCCTTTTCAAACAAACTTTTTACTGGCGTGTAACATACCTGCAGAAAGCGGGTTAAGATTTGCAGGGCGAGGTGAGTCATCACAAAATGAACCTTTATTCAGTCACCACCCGAGCCAAGAAAAACCCTATGGTGCCCGGCTGGCATGGCTCAGTGGTTGAGCATTGATTTATGAAGTAGGAGGTCAGGGTATATGCTTGGGTTGTAGGCTCAATCCCAGTGGGGGGCATGCAGGAGGCAGCTGGTCAATAATTCTTTCTCATCATTGATGTTTCTATCTTTCGCTCTCTTTCTTCCTCTCTGAAATCAATTAAAGAAAGAAAAGAAAGAAAGAGAGAAAGACGTCATGTTACCATGAAACGCTACTTTTGCCTTGTCTGTCACTTTCCTGTTCCCATCCCTAAAGCTATCTCTCTCCTGTCTGGTGACTTCAGAGACTCATTGCACCGGCTCTGGAGCGCCCTATCAATGCGGTCAGGTAGTCAGGTGAGGTCAGGTGGGAAGTGCTCCTTGCATTTGTTGGCTCCCTTATCCCTCCTGCGGCTCCTTTGTTGTCCCTGCTCCTTGGACATCAGCTAGTGCTGATGGGCAGCCATGTGGTGGGGCCCTCAGGGCGTGGTGCAAGTCCTCTCCCATTCAGGGATCTACCTGGGATGGTCCAGCCAATCGGAGCAGGTAGTAGCACTTGGTGTATTCTCATTGGTTTGTTTACAGACGGTGCCCACGGTCTCGAAGGACCCTTGCAAGCAAGCGTGGATAGTAAACGAAGGCTTGACTCGAGGGAACATCTGAGCTAAAGCCAGCCCCGCACGAGGATGGTTTCAACTGAAGCGACATCCCTCTCCCAACGTGACAAGGAGGCTGATTCTGTGTAGCCCTCCCAGGGCAGGTCTGAGTAGGCCACCTGCCGCCTTTGGGCTTGGAGACCCCACTTGTAAAATGGCATCCAAGGAACCATTCAGCTCCGAGACCGTCTGATTTTGGGGGGTCAAATTATTTCACAGGGGCAACCTCAAGCCAGCGTATTTCTAAATATCCTGGAAATTGCTCACCTCCCTGACACTTTCCTTCGTTTCCAAATAGCCTTCGGGTTCTGCTTCATCTACCAGGTAGGGCCCCAGGCTTTGCTGACCAGTTCCTCATCCTACGAGTCATCTTCTGCTTTCATAGCCTTCCCTCGGTCCCCCGGCAGCCACTCTGCACCTACTGTTTCCCCGTCAAGCTGCACCTTCCCGGACAGCCAGGGGACGATGACTGGCTCTCGCAGGTTTGATTGTCACACCTTACATGTCACTGCTCAGATCCAATCCCAATGGATTATTTGGTGCGCTGACATTTGTGGGCAACAGAGTGATCTGTAAAATAATAAATATTGTGCAAAAAGCATACAAACCCTTTTGAGGCTTGTGAAGTGCCCATTGTTCTCCCTGCAGCCAGGGTAAACATCCCCTGCTCCTTTCCCCACCGAGAGGCCACAGTGCGGTCAATAACCAGCTACAAAGAAGTCTGAGTTGGGAAGGGCGCAGAGGCAGGCTCTGCCGTAGACATGACTGCACAGAGCAAAGCTACAGCCTCCGCTGGAGATCATGTGCACACTCCATGGCCCTGCCGATGCCTGCTGATAGGCAAAGCCCGTCACCTGTCCTCAGTCACCCACACTGTGAGCCTCAGCTCTCGGGGAAGCGACCAGGTGGCCACAGGGGTTCTGGGAAGGCTGCCCCTGCAGCCCAGAGAACCTCAGGTGGGAGAGAGGTGTTGTGGAGTAGAGGAGGGACCTGAGAGTCAGGTGGCAAGAAACCTTATACACTCAAAGCGAACACATTGTGTGTTATGTTAGGATGGTGGTCACCCCGAGGGGTAGTGACTGGAAAGAGGGCTGTGTAGGGCTTCTGGGGGCTGGTGCTATTCTGTTCCTTGGATTGGGAGCTGTTCTCCAGAGAGGGGTTCAGATTCTTAAAACCCATCAGACTGTATACTTCTGATGTGTGCATTTGTTATACTACGTAAGTTTCATTTCAACAAAAAGTTTACTTTTATTTTATTTTATTTTAACATATTTTATTGATTTTTTACAGAGAGGAAGGGAGAGAGACAGAGAGCCAGAAACATCGATGAGAGAGAAACATCGACCAGCGGCCTCCTGCACATCCCCTACCGGGGATGTGCCCGCAGCCAATGTACATGCCCTTGACCGGAATCGAACCCGGGACCTTTAAGTCCGCAGACCGATGCTCTACCACTGAGCCAAACCGGTTTCAGCAAAAGTTTACTTTTAAAAGCTGAATATTACCAGACTGAATTCCAAACCAAACATATGTTTGGTTTGGAAATGTTTGGTTTGGAATTCAGAACTAAATCACTGCAATTCATCACAAAAGAGAAAAATCAAATAACTAGCTCAGTAAATGCTGAAATTCAGCATTCATTTATCTTGAAAATTAGAATCGAAGGGAAATGCCTTAGTTTACAGATATTTAGTGGGAGAAATGTTGAAAGCTTTCCAACCTGGATGCCATTGTCTCCATAATATCTATTCAACATTGTACTCAAAGTCTCTTTCATGCAAAGTGATTGTGGGTGGGGATGTAATGAAGCTCTCATTACTGTTTGTGAAAATTCCCAATTAATTAGAATTAATAAGTGAATTTAATGAGATCACCAGATATAAGGATAATATGCACAAATATGTTGTATTTCTAATACTATAAATTATTAGAAAATGAAATAGAAGTCAGAAGATGAAAAAAAAATAGATGATCTGACAAACATGTTGAATGAAAGAAATCAGATAGATACAAAGAATACATACTGTATAATTGCCTTTATATGAAGTCCAAATATAGGCAAGAATAAACTATCGCTTTAGAAATTAGGACAGTAGTTAATTTGAGGGATGGGAGAGGGTGCTGGTTTGAGCAGAGGCTTTCTGGACATTGGCAGTTTTTCCTTTTGTAACCTGGTGGTTACATGAGTGTTTTATTTGAGATAACTTATTGAATTGTATGTGAATGTTTTTACACTTTTCTATATGAGAGTCATTTAGAAATTTTTTGAAAAAATATTATTTGGTCAGCTTGAGTTAGGTGATCCATAATGGCTAGTTGTCAGTAGCCAGATGAAAAGAGCCACGTGGTTCAGAACAGCAGGGGTGAGAAGACAGGGAGAGATGTGGGAGGGAGAACGAGAAGAAAGTGATCTTTTCTCACAGGGAGTTTATCCAAAGAACAATGAGTCTTCTCCCTCTCCCCTCCAAACACACACACTTACGTCTGCATTTCTCAAATAAGTTGGCCTGGCCTAGCTGGGTGCTTATTCAAAGTCATGGTTTTAAAGTCTTTGGAGGAATTCATGCTTCTCTTTTCTTTTCTTTTTTCTTTTTCTTTTCTTTTTCAATAGGCAATATTCCAATTGAATAGTAATTCTACTGAATAAACACAGTCTATAATAAAACCAAACAGAAACCAGACTAGAGTGAATGGTGGTCGATGTGTGGATCTGGCTTATTTGGAAAGCCTTAGTTTATTCCAGAGGAGGACGGAGGACGACATTCCTCAAGGACAGAGTGTAGAAGAGAGGAGGGGCACGGAGCAGTGCCTTGGAGCCACTGTGGGTCTTGAAAGATTCCCCGAGGGATGGTCTGCAGTGAGGGAGACAAGAGGCAGAGAGAGTGATCAGGGGCCCAAGGCCATCTCATGACCTTGGAAGAAAAGGGATGCATGGGCACAAGAGGCAGGATGAAGGAAGATAGTACTAGCATGTTTGGGCCCTAGATTGCATGTTGTGAGTGAAGGAGAAGAGGCAATTGGAAAGGACACAAAGGTATTGGCCTATAGCGACGGAGAGCCTGGGCCTCCCCTTGCCAGACAGGGGTGAGGAGAGGGCCATAATGAGGATCACGGGTTCAGAGGGGGAAGAGGAAGACATGAAGAAGGGGCAGGAAGAGAAGCAGAGAAAAGCTCTTTGATTGCTGAGTTTCCCTTACAAATGGGGCGACATTGGGCAACAGCACTATTGATTCAGAGCCATTGCCCCCACCCCCCCAGCTTCCTCCTAATCTCCTACAAACACCAAATGCTCCGGGGACTTCAAGTCTCTGTTCAAGAGGGTCAACCAGGTGGCCAAACTTTTAGGGTTTCTTCTCAAATGGATTTTTCTTGAAATTAATACTCTTTGTTGAAAGACTTTGCTCAGGATCAAGATCTGCTCGGTGGATCAAGAAAAGGGGACACCTGCTCCCCTTCTTTGCCCCTCCTCTCACTTTCTTTAAAAAAAAAAAAAAATTTAAATTCTTTATTGTTGAAAGTATCACACACGTCTTCTTCCTTTCCCCACCATTGACCTCTCCCTGCCTGCTCCCACCCCCCAGCGCAGGCCCTCACCCACCTAGTCACTTTCTTTAAAAAGAAAAGATGTTAAATTAATTTTTAGAGAGATAGGAAGAGAGGTAGGGAGAGAGAGAGAGAGGGAGAGAGAGAGAGAGAGAGAGAGAGAGAGAGAGAAACATCAATGTGAAAGTGAAACATCAATCAGCTGCCTCCTACACACCCCCTCCCGTGGATCAAACTGGCAACCTTTTGGTGTGGGGGATGATACCAGCCAACTGAGCCACACGGGCCAGTGAACACATGGGAACTTTAGGATGACTAGACAGGTTGCCCTGGGTCAGTGCACCAGCCTCATCCATGGAAATAGAGGAAGAGGGTGGCTCCTTGCTCCTCTGAGGACCCAGTTCAAGCACCTTCTCATTGAAGGCCACTGACCTTCCCCCACAGGGAGCAGGCAGGGGTGCTGAAGGCGGCAGAGCAGGCCCCCGCCCTGCCAGAATGCAGCCGCAGGGGAGGGACAGCTAAAGGGGCCCAGGGCCAGTGCTTCCACCTGGGGGTTTCCCTGGACAGGGACCTCATTCCTTCTGGGAAGAAATTTGCATGGCTGGCCCTGTGCCAGACACACCACCATGCAGGGTGCCTTTGGCTGGCACCATCCCGGAAGCCTTCCTGGGTCATGCCTGCTGCACATTCTCAGTGGCTTGGTGATTAGATGCCCATGGAGATCAGATTTATGCCAAGGGTGTGGAGTGCTACCCTGGTCCAGAGAACTGAAGCCTGGCAAATGGGAAACCTGGGATCTGATTAGGAGGGGCAGGTGAAGGGCGAGGAGGCGGAAAAGAACTGCCCAAGGAGATAGAAGCTCTTTGTCTCTACGGGTTCTTTGTAAATGAGGCAACATTTGGCAACTAGACACATTAGTTAACAAAGCCACCGTTTCCCTGCCTGCTGATGGCACCCACTCTCTCTACCCACAGACACACCCAAAGGTGCATGGGAGCCAGTGTGAAGGCCTTGCTCTGGAAATCATGGTTAGACATTGACCAAGAGGCAGGGAGCCCACTGTCCATCTCTTCCTTATTCTTTTTCACTCTCTGCAATCTCTCCAGGGTGGTCAGCAAAGGAATGATAAGTAACAATAGGGATCCCTGAATAGGGGTCAGTGGCAGATCTCCTTTGTTCTACTTGGAGCCAGTTCTGCCCAGATCCCACCCATCCTTCCCAATTCCTCCTGGGGCTGGAAGCTAGAGTCCTCCATATCGGGCAGGGTCTGGGACTTACTGCCCGTCGATTGGGACAGCTTAACGTGGGCCAGTCCTTGAGGTGTCAGAGTGTCACTGGGTGAATTTCAGGGGTAGAGAGGGAGTGGGGGAGAGAGTGAGCATTCCTCACCTGCCTGTTAACCAGCTCCTGTTACTATGTGGTTGTTTGTACTATGGCCACCTTCTCTGTTCTGTATATTTACCCCATACCACTGCCTCAGCTCTTGGAAACCTGTATTCTACCTCCCTAAAGGCTCTTCAAGGTCTGGTCCAGCTCCTGCTTGAACAGGCTCTGGGAAGCCTGGCCTAGCCAGCCCTGGCCTCACTGTTTTTCAAACTTGACCTGTAGCAAGGAGGAGCCTTTGCTACTTCCTATCACTCTTCCTCCTCACTCATTCGTTTGTTCTTCCAATGTTGACTATCAAGTGCCCATCACACACACAGAACCAGCTGGGCAGAGGACTTGAGGATGACCCTGAGGCTCTTCATTTGATGGGTCTGCTGGAAAGTGGTAGGGATATGAGAGAAGATACAGAGCTGGAGGAAGTGGATGAGTCCTATTTGCATTTAGGTGACCGTAGGATCTGCATGAGGAGCCTTCCCGGCTAGACAAGATGGAGCTCAGAGCAGTAGAGGAAATGATGTTAATCTTTCCCGCAAGAGTTCTGGGCCAGAGAGCTTAGCGTGACCTTTGCTTGTCCCTCATGCCCAGGTAATTGGCCACTGATCCCTGAATCTGTGCTCTGAGCCTTTGCCTGAATACTCTTTCTGTAGAAACCTACTCCTTCCTTCAGGCAGCCAAGTCAAAGGCTCCTCCTCTCCTCCTCCTCCTCCTCCTCCTCCTCCTCCTCCTCCTCCTCCTCCTCCTCCTCCTCCTTCTTCTTCTTCTTCTTCTTCTTCTTTATTTATATTTTTTTACAGAGAGGAAGGGAGAGAGATAGTTAGAACCCCCCCCCCCCTTTTTTTTTCTGCCTCCTGCACACTGCCTACTGGGGATGTGCCTCCAACCAAGGTGCACGCCCTTGACCGGAATCAAAACTGGGACCCTTGAGTTGGCAGGCCAACACTCTATCCACTGAGCCAAACCGATTAGGGCTCAAAGGCTCTTCTTCAAACTCTTCTGGAATCCTCGTGATGGGAACTGGCTGGTCTTTCCTTCTCAGGGTCCCACCTGCCTTGCTTTTCCCCGGTGGCCTGATAGGAGTGTCCACCTGTGTCCCCTTGTGCCATGTGCTCCTCTTCTGTGTCCCTCTTGGCCCCCACCAATTCTGGCATGAATGAATGAATGAATGAATGAATGTTAATAATAGATGGTTTGCACTTCATTTTCTGGGCATACCTACCCTTCATCTGCTTCCTCTGAAGATGGGCCTGGAGGGCTGTTCTGAGTG